TTATGATAAAGACTCATTGACTCGAAGATTATCGTGGTCGGCAAGGTATTGATAGTCAACATCACAATTAAAGTTGAAAAAAACGTACAGGTACAGCCCACAGAAGCAGGCCCACAGAGCTAGAAAATTCAATTAGAGCTTTGTTGCTTCAAATTGAGAAGTCTGCAACTTTCCAGGGAAGCTTTGCTGCATACCTCGCGAGAAGTTTGTAGCGTTTCCAAGAAAACGATGAGATTTGTTGTGTCACGCCCCAGAACCCAAATTCGGGGACGCGACAGACGCCGTGCACTCGTGAGACAGGTCCCACAAGTGCACAAGGCTCGAAACTTATTCAAATCACAATCCGATACCACAAAATCTCAAGATAAAGTTTTACAATCTTCTCTGATATTATAAAATCTCCAAATACACTCTACCTTGCAAGAGCAGGATTTATTTCTAAAATCTATGTCAATCTTGAAATGGCTAGCCTTCTAACTCGTGACTCCCCTTGGTTTTCCCATCCTCGATTTCGATTCCTGAAATGATGGACAAGGAAAACTATGAGATAACTCAGTAAGTAAATACGGATAGCCCTTGGGTAAAACTTTTAAGCATGCCAAATAAACAGTTTAATATAACCAAAACGCTCAGTGACAAAATCAGATTCAGTTTAATTGCAAAGCATTCATGACAAACCGTTAATGCAGAAGAAAACTCAGTTCAGTAGTCTCATCTATAAGTCATGACCAGTGTTTAACAAACTCCCACTAGCAGGCGTCAGTAATAGTGCCAGTGTTTAACACACTCCCACTGGCAGGCGTCAGTAATAGTGCCAATGTTTTATCCCATTGGCAGGACGAACCGGTTTTACAAAAATACATGTCGACATGTGCTAGCGTTTACAGCTCCCACTAGCGGGCGTCAGTAATCATGACTATATCCGAGACAAAACCATGTAGGATTTACAGAAAACCCGAATTTCACAATCAATCTCCAATTTCAGAAATAATCAGAAAATTTCCATGTGAGCATGGATTTAACAAAAAGCTCAGAATTTGCAAACTCTCAATTCATCAAAACAGTTCAGTCAATTCCAAATAGGCATGTGAGCATGGATTTAACAAAAAGCTCAGAATTTGCAAACTCTCAATTCATCAAAACAGTTCAGTCAATTCCAAATAGGCATGCTGTACTCAATACCAATGAAAACAGTTTCATTTCAAATCAATCATGCTCGGTGCAATAACTCCAGAAAAACAATGAAATTCTCACTTTTCATTTCAATCATGCTTAATTCCAGAAAAACAATGAAATTCCCATTTTCATTCCAATCATGTTCAATTCCAGAAAACAGTGAAATTCTCATAAAAACCATCACAATTTCCATTTCAGTTTAATCACATTCAGATGCTGATAAAATCAATTTAAAATCAATTTAAACCTTGCCACCATCTCAAAAATAGTTTAAAACATGTTTTAAAATCGAAGGGCTTTACCATGATTTACTTACCTCACTCGCACAGAACAGAAGGCTAACCCAAGTGCTACGGTGACAAAACGATCAAAACCTAATCACAATATTCCACAATTAATAACCATACCACCACAAATTTAAAGTAAAATCATCATCGGGACTGCCCCTAATCTCAATGCTATTTCTATCAATCTCCACATAACCAGACATCTCCAAACTTATTCTTATATCACAAACTAATCCTTTAAATCCCCGCTAATCGTTGACCCTCGATGTGTGAACAGTGCCTATGAACAGTACCCGTGAACAGTGCTCACGACATGAACAGTATTGCCAACCTCCAAAAATTGGCCAAAACACTAGCTAATTCACGGGATTTTCACACAAAATATCACAGCAATCAATTAACACTCAATCACATAAATCCCACTTGAATTAAGCTAAATCATGGTCCTAAAGCTACCGGAATTCCTCCCATTTTCTAGCAAAAATTTGGACAACATAGGCAACCATCAATCAACTAGTTTTCAAGAATTAAAGAAGCCAACCTACCAGATATTTTCCAGCTGCAGAACCGGACATGGCAGGGGGAAGAGGCCGGCGGCAATTTGGGGGAAATTCTGCAGGAACTTACGGGATTTACCCAAAATTAAAGGAACCCAACTTAATCAAAGCTAAAAGGATGAAATCATGGCTGTTTCTTACCAGAAAAGCCGAGAATTCACACCCACACAAGCAGA